CTACTGCAGCATGTAGAACAGATTATCGAAGGCAACAAGACAATCAACACATTGTTACGGAGAACACCTTCAAGTTGGGAACGTAGTCTCCTTTTCCTGATGAACCGCGATTGTCACCTTCACCGGCAGTCGATTAGTTAGCAGGTCCCGCTTGCGCGGGGTATGTATGAGAAGACCCAGACCAGATGCCAATCATCACTTGCTTAAGGAGGAGAGGCTTTCCGAGATTGGAGCCTTGCATTTCCTGCGTCCCCTTTTGCTTCTCAGCCTGCGCCTGGCCTTCCTTCCTATCAGATAATCGGTTTTCAGCCCACCCTCACTGTGTTCTGAACCTCTGATGCTGCAGTGAGGTGAACGACCTGCTTCTGGATATTAACGAATCGAACCACACTGACAATAGGCCTAATCGTCGAGAATCGTTCGATGGGGGGATGATTGTTCCGGAGTACTGCCGGTAATCTGCTGATGGGCTGAACCATTTGGTCCCCTACCTTATCACACACACTCTCTTTCTCTTCGCTGCACCGACATGAAAATCTTTGAAGTCTAGTCCAATGAAAATCCCGATAAAGTTCATGGTGATGGCTACAGCCAAGCCCAGGATACACCCTCCAGACTCCAGAGTCCACTGTGGATTTCCCAGCTTAGTTCCCCTCCCTCCCCAGCCTCCTCCCTACCGTAAGGGTGTCTCCCGCTGACACAGTGTGTCCCAAGGAGCCAAGGGAAATGTGTATGTGCCGTACAGTACTTTACTTAACCGAGATGCGAACTGAAGATGCGATCGCATGGGTTATAGCATTGATCATCTGTCAAACTGCACAACCATTAAATGGTTGGACTACGAGCAGCAGCATAGTCAATATTCTCGCGTCAACATGCCCCGATGACTTGTGAATACACAGCGCAAACCTACTGAGCGGAATACCAAGGCGTGGGTGCGTCTTCTCCGGTACAGGATCTTCCCTTTTATGCCAATAGGCGATAGAGACAAAAGTACGAACCACCGTCAAGGAAGTCGAACATCAATTCAATTTCCTGCTGGCCTGCCCCCTCTCACGGCTGCCTTCCGGTCGCTTGGATCATACATTTCCCCTTCCTACTCCCCCATAGAATTTGCAATCCTCGAACTCGACTCGAATCTCTTGGATTGATCTATGCCCGACTCTATCTTGCTTGTTTGGCGTAGGATGAATACGTGATATTCCACTAGTGCGCTCTGTGCCATTGTAGGCTGCTGGTAAGGAGCCTAATTTGTCCGACGGGAGACTATCCCTAACATCGGTTGGGCTGGTAGCCTCGTGTTCCCCACTGACGCGTTCCTGACTTGCGCGGGCAAGCAGATAACTAACTCATGGATGACTGCCCCGGTTACACTGCACCCGAGGCAAAAAGGCCTATCATCCATCATATTGGATTTGATCCGCTTAATTCCGCTTCCCAATTCACCTATTTATGCCTGCTACAAGTGATGTATGAGTTCAGCACGGTGGATGTTAGTCTACGAACAGGAAGATAACAATGGCCGTCGAGTGAGCGACACAAAAATGTCCAATTGACAAGCGATAGGTGGTTACTATCAGAAACCGGGGGTCCACCAAACGACGTGCTTCCCATTGGCACTGCTACGGCCATACTTCGGTTGGAGGTTTGGTTCCCCCCCTGAAGTCGGCCGTACCGCAAGTCCGCGACAGCTGACCGACGCAACCTTGGGATTCATCATCTGGACAACAAAAATAATGGGGGTTGGTGTTGGTTACTGGTCAAGCAACATTCCCACTTTTCCTCCCCGTTTCTCCCTCTCCATATCTGGTCTCTAACCCAAGTTTGCTTATATCCGAGGAGCCATCGCCGGCATCACCCGCCGCCGTCTTTGCACCGTTTCTGGACTGTCAATCAAGTGCTATTGTTAGCATTGAGAATACTATGAGTACTGTACCATTATCTACGATTAAGTGCAATGTTTTTTTTGTTCTAATGAATGAATTCATTTCAATAATATCTCTGCGTTATGGTTAATTACCTCATGCCACTCAATCTCGTCCCCTTTCCCCTCTACCATCGCCTGGACCTGTCTTGTGTTTGGCTGAAGCTCGTTAAAATACAGTAACATTAATGTCGAGCCTCTCTCTCTCTCTCTCACACACACACACTTCTCTCCCTCTCTGCTACGGACCCTGCACGCGGTACTCGCTTCGTCCCCCCTCCTCCGGGCTGCGCTACCAACACCCGCTCTTCCCCTAGTCATCGAGGCTTTTACCTAGACCGTTCAAGCCGTTCCTCGGGCACGCCATTCCTAGCTCCATCTTCGCCTGTCCACTAAATAGATTACCTACCCACGCAGCCCGGACGTTGACCAACGATCTTGGGTGAGTATCCACGGGCGCAGAGCACGCTAGGTTCACGACAGCCTCCCTGCGGCCAGGACTCGACACGCGCACCGTCCGTCCCGAATCGCGGGTAGACTATCCAAGCTCTAAAACCCCTATCAACATTAATCCTCGACTAGACTACGTACCCTAAGTTTATTTTGAACCTCATATCTACATTGTATGTATCTTTGGATAACGCTTCCACGCCACAACAGATTCACCGGTGGGGTTGATAGAATAGAGAAAGGTAAGAAAGAGATCACGGACCAGAGAAGAATAGCACAAGAAAAAAAAAAGAAAAAGAAAGAAAAAGAAACGATGGCCGAAAAAAATCATTGAAATTGTCGTCGATTTCTCCTGTTCCTTGATTTCGCCACAAATTTCGGCGGAGTCTGCCGCTGCCGCTTAAGAGGAAAAAGGACGGGAAATTGACAGACAGAGAGGAGTGGTAAGTTAGGGACAAAAGAGCAGGGAAAGGTAAAGAGAAGCAGAAGGCACATTCAGACAAGGAAAGCTTAGCCGGGGTTACGAGGAGTGACCATCAGCTGTCCTATCTATCTACCTACCTACCTACCTACCTACCTACCACCACCATCCTCCTCCGGGATATCATCGATGAGCAATTGAGGGGAAGGGGGGGGCCAAAGAGAGGAGCCGGTAGGCCGTACAAAAGCGAGTGAGAGAGGGGTACTAAAAAAAAGAAATACAAATGAAAAAGAAATGAATGAATAGCATCGCTCGCATCCATCCAACAGAGTAACCATTTGAAAGAGAAATTATTACAAGCAACTTGGTTAACCACCAGAGACTCTTTTTGGGGTCCTGATAAAAATCCACGAAAAGGAAAAGGAGTGGGTCGGACTACTTTACTGGCAACGGACCCGTCACCACAAAGCGGCAGCACTCCGCTCCTGGAGCAAGACAAAGGACAAATAAGAGTTAATCCTCCGGGCGGCCCCTCCAGTATGAGTGACGAAGATATTACCATACCAGTACTGGTACCCTTACTAGTGGTTTTCCGCTTACATACCCGCTTTCCACTAGTAATTACCTTTCTCTCTCTCTCTCTTTCTCTCTCTCCCCCTCTCTCCCGTCGACTATGATTCCCTTTCTAAAGTTTCTCTCCCTATTCTTTTTTTTTTAATTATTATTTTTTATCCAACGTCTGTTCTCTCCAGGCTAATTCCCCCCATCCCACCCCTTTCCCCTTTTGAAAACCTTTGCCTCCAACTCCGTTTCATTACTAAAGAGCGTAAAAAGATTACGGGCCCACGCGCTCCACCATACCCTCGGATCCCACGAGGTGTTTTGCTCTCAGGCGGTTTTCCTCCTGCCGAATAACCTCTTTGCTTCGTCCTCTCCGAAGCCTTTTAGGCCGCTTCTTCTGCTCAGGTTTTTCTTTTCCGGGTCGAGTCGAACCATTTCCCACACCCCTCCTCCCACTTAGTTACCTTCCCCCCCCCCTTCCCCTCCTCAAGGCCCCCCCCTCCTCCCCTCTTCTCTATCCGTCTTGATTTTAGGGTGACTTGTGCGACTGGCGTTGCCACCAAGCTAGATCGAGACATCGGCTCCTGCGCTATCACGCATTTGCGCTGGTGGAAATTTATTTGATCGTGTCTCCATTCTCGTTCGTCCTGGCCGAACAGACTATTTTGGCCCTGACCTGGCTGTTTTCTAAACCCTCTATATTCCCCTCTCCCCAAAGCTTGCCCGAGCGCAGACAGGACCGTCCCTTTCAATCCTCCCGCCGGTTCCTCGTGCTGCTGTGCTTACCGCCACCTGCAAGCCCATTCTCCGTCACCCTAACACGGCGACTAAGGCAATTAAGCATCACGATCCAGCAGTACCATCAACTTCCCTAAAGACAACAACACTCTTTTTTCTCTCTCTCCCCTACCTTTCTACCTTTCTGTCTTTATCCGAACTCGATTATTATTTTCTTTTTTTCTTTCTCTTCCCTTGAATCACAACCCCCCTGTCCGTATCAATATTTCCTCTCCATTTCCCTTTTATCTCAGCCTTTCGGGAGTGTGCAATTATACGCGACCATTATTACGCGTCGATCCTTTTCCAACCGATTCCCTACGACTGCCTCGATTCCGTTCGATCACAATACAACCGGTTGAATTGTTACAATTCAGTCAACTCCTCCCAGAGTCATCTAATAGTACGTTCCAACATATTGCCGACCTTCAGTGGAAGGGACAGAAAAAAATCCCCAAAAAACAAAAAAAAAAAGAAGAAGACGACGAAGACGAAAAAGAGCAGGAACAGAAAGAGAAAGAGAAGCCGTCATTGCGCAAGATCTGGTCTGGTCGTCAAGATCTCCTCGGGACCAGTCTGGCACACACCCTCTCTCTCTCTCTCTCTCTCTCCCTCCCTCTCTCTCTCCTCCCCTGTCCCTCAATTTATTACCTCTCGGCCTATCTTTCTCTTTATTACCATTTCTTTTCTTCGATTTGTTTCCCCTCTTAATTTTTGTCCAATCTTGTTTTGTTTGCAAGCCACAAAGCTCATTGTGTCCATCTCGACGCGTCTGCACAGGCACGCGAGGCTTTTTTTTTCTCTTTTAGTTCGGAGGAATCGTTCAGGGATATCTTGGTCCGGTAGTTGCGACCAAATTTGTATTATATGGACAACAGACCTGCTTCGGAGTACGCGCAGTCAGGTTCGCACTTTCCATATCCACTGTCTGCCGCGACTCATCATTCTGAACTCCCCGCTGCAGACCAGGCTTCTGCTGCTGCCACTGCTCAATACACTCCCCAACCGGAGGTTCGCCCGACTCCCCAGTACACGCCTCAACCCGAGGTCCGCCCCGCCGCCAACATCTCTTCATCCAACACACCTCAGTCGGACTACGGTCTGAACCAACCCGCCGCCGCGCGCTCCCCTGCCTATCCCGAATACCTCGCCCGCCCACCTCAGTACCATCACGCCCCCAACACCCAGGCCGGTGGTGCGGCAGGTATGGCTCAAGCAACAAGTCCGTCCATGACCACCCTCAATAATGGGCAACACCATGACCCACGCAATCATCACACGAACGTGAAGTCTGACGCAGACGTTCCTATAGATCCCTCAATCGCGGCCTCCAGCCCCACCTATCCTCCTCCTTACTCGCCTTATCAGCCGCAGGGCCATGACATGGCTCAATACCAGGGTCACCCCCCTCCTCCCCCTCCTCAGATGTATGGGCGTCCGGAATGGTCGCATGGTTATGGACACAATCAACACGGTCTTCCTGGACCATATAACGCTCCTGCCACAACGGTTGGTCCCGCCTCCCCTGCTGCGACCGCAGGGCCGCGCCCTGGCCAGGTATGTTTTTGATGATTTTGGCGTCTGTTTCCTAAGGCTTGCGCACTTGCGTGGAACGGTTGTCTTGGATGCCTCCCGCGTTATCGGGTTTGCGGCGAAAAAGAGAACTATCCGGCCTTTGGGGGTGTGGGAAGCGGGCGCGCTATTTCATCTGTTTTCATGATGTTTTTGATCAGAAGCTCATTCGGTTGTTTTTCTCTTCTAGGTATACTCATTCGTTCCCATTCCCGGCGCGCAACAACACAAACGCCCTCGCCGGAGATATGAGGAGATTGAGCGTATGTACAAGTGCGGTTGGAATGGATGTGAGAAGGCTTACGGTACTCTCAATCACTTGAATGCGCATGTGACGATGCAATCGCATGGTGCGAAGCGTACACCTGAGGGTGAGTTGGTGTCTCTTTTGTGTCTTTTTGTTTTGTTTTTTTGTTCTCGGCGCTCTTTCGCCGTCTCGGGGAGAGTCGCAGAGGCGTTGTTTTGGTTAGTCGCAAATAGCTCGATTGGGCTAGTGCGGGTGGCACGCGCTAGTCGTGTTACACTACGTTAGCGCCGCGGATCGCAGTAGCGTGACAAGCCGGCGCGGAGGTTAAGCGTGTTTAGCCTCTCTGCCCACCATGGCATGTCTCTATGCTTTCCCCTTGCGGTGCTTCCCGTTGATACTTGACTTCTTTCTCCCCAACCCTTCTTCAAGTCTTATTGCCCGGCCACACTTTGCTGACATTCACCTCCCTGAAACAGAATTCAAGGAAATTCGCAAGGAATGGAAAGCTCGGAAGAAGGAGGAAGAGGCTCAGCGCAAGGCCGCTGAGGAGCGCGAGCGTGCCGCCGCCCAAGCTGCTCAGTCCAACCCAGTGGATGCGCCCAACCCTGCGGATCCCGCCCAGGGTGGCCAACCGCCAGCGTACCCCGGCGGTGTTCGGCCTCAACTCCCTCCGATCGGATACCAACCTGCTGATGGCCAGGTGCCCGGGCAGTACGGAGCGGCTGCTGGTGGCATGGTTTACCAGGGTAATGGGCAGATGGCCTACCCTCCCAATTACCCTCACTCCCCCTATGGGCAAGCGGGCCAAGTGTACCAGCCACGTAAGTAGTCATGTCCATCGTTATGTTTTGCATTATCAGAACCGGAGGTCATGAGGAGTCATGAGAGACCGCGACAGAAAGAGAGAGAAAAAAAAACACAACATCATCATGATTTAAAAAGAGATTTACGACCATCATACCCGAATGACTCGGTGACTCTTGACTCTCCGAGGAAAATATCCGCCGCAGGAGGTCTGTGGGTCTTTTGCTCTACAAGGTCTGTAGCTGATCGATGATGGCTTCACAGAAACCCAATCGACCAGCTACCCGCAATAGATGTTCAACTTCCCTTACTTGACTCAGGTTGCATATTCTAATACAATATCTCCTAATCCCGTATCGCCATCCCGGACCTAATCCTTCTTTAAGTTCTTTCGCACATGATACCATTTCCAGGCCTTGATTGCTCCAGTCAAACAAGAGTGGCCCTGCGACTTACGTTCCTGTTCCAGTTATGTTGTTTTTGAGTTAGATCGCATGAGAAACCAAAAAAGGAGATTGTCTAATTGAGGGGTTCGTTGTCTCATATTCCCTGAACGAATACCGGTTATGGGAATGTGGTTTGGGATATCTGGCGGGGCTTTCTGCACTATCTGAGCTGTATCTTTTTTTCTTAGTTTTACCCCTGTGAATTACGCGCCTCATTGTCTCTATACGGCTTTCTCCTTTCATGTTGTATGTGGCTTATTGCTGTGATGCCTGATCTTCAGCTTTTGTGTTCCTGCAGTTTCAGTGTCCATTTCGCTTCGACCAGCCTTTATATTACCCTGGGTGTTGGTCCCCGATTCTGTGCAAAATTCATATTCATACCCTTTCTCTCTTGGTCATGACCTAATGGTCGAAGTCTTGCAGCCATTCATTGAATTTGCTACATCCTCCTTCATATCTTCTCAATGATCTACTGATCCTGGTGAATCCAGTAGGACCTGGTATCAATGACACCTACTTGCTCATGTGCCTATTGATAGGGGTGGCTTCAGTGCCGGCCCGAATCTCTTGTAGTCACAACATTGGCCATCTTGGTCACACGCGTGGGATTGATAGCGAGCGACGCCCCCAAAAAGGCTAGGCGAGAAATCAACGATCATTGATTCTGCATGTATTTCATAGTTCCTGTGTTAGTGGGATCTCGGTCAGCGCCATGAAGCAGGCAACGTGCGATTACTATGTATCTGGATGACTAGCGTGGTGTGACTACAGTACTTGTGCCGTAGGGCGAGTCACTAGTCCTGTCGTACAGGATCAAGAGAGATGTGGGCTACTGTAGGTCCCGGGTTGACTCGTTTGATGCGGAAAGCATATACAGGATCTACTGCCCGCATGGTTCGGATGTTAAGAGTTAATCCCGGGAATTGGAAAAGAGGCTAATCGGGGTGAAGAGACTTAGGCGCGGTCTTGTCTTAATGCGGGCCGGGTGATTTAGTTCCAGAGGGGCGCTGAAACAACCGTTTATTTACTTACATGCGTAGTAGTCTTTTGGGGGGGTCGGGGAGGTCAGCCTGGAAGTTGAGCTAAGCTAAGGAGGGAGGATTTAAGGGTTCCTGGATGAGATCCGAATCAAAGGTTTTTGTTTTTTTTTTGGTCGACTAGTCAGCGGCAGTCTCCGAGCGTGGGAATGGTACAGGTTGGGATTGGGAAGAGCTTAAGCCTTACTAGTGCACCCTCGCTCAGTACTAGCGAGTACCTGAACCCTCCGTTCCAAGTTACTAGATGCTTACATACTTTTAGTACACGGCCCTTCCCTCTCCCCCCCCCCCTCCCCTCCCCGGAGCGTCGCGCGGAAAGGAATCGGGAGGGGGTGGAAATGTCTGAGCGCCCGAGAGCCCCAGAGCCTATCGGGCGGAAACTGCTGCCTGAGGTTTACTTAGTGAGTTAGTGCGTACCGCCGCATAGTCATAGTACTAGGCTAGGTGGTACTATGAGTAAAATGACCCTAACAGGCAAAGACAATTTTTCTAAAATAGTAAAAAGGCCTTTTAAATCTCCTAAACAGTTAGACTAGTGCAGATTCAGTAACGCTAGAGCATTCTTACCATCGGGACTAAACCCACTGTGGTACTGCAACGGGCTGCTGCTGGCGCCCGCTGCGGCGCGCGGTCTAGCGACTACGACTAGGAGGGAAATGGCTCCATACTTGCATCTATGCCTCAGGCATCAATATGGGCGTGGCCAGGCAGGACCTCTCGGAAGCGGAGTAACATACCACTTCTGGAGTAACCAGCAATCTAACCTCGTCTGGACTAGCTGGGCTCAAATGAATCCGAGATTCAGAACACCGCGGAGTTTGCGGTCCAGATACCGGAGCTCGTTGCTGCACTCAACAACGCTCTTTCTTTTCTGTCTTGTTGTACTTATGAAATTTCTTGAGATCGAAAAGTTTGTTATTATCTCTAGGAGCTGTCGTTCTTGAATAGACTGGACGCCATTCTCTTGTTTCTTTCCTTGTTCGGGTGAAGAAAAAAAAAAGAAAGCAATAGATATCTCCAACTTTTGCCTCATCTCCGCAATTTTTTTTTTTCGCGCCGCGTCTCCGGCCTTCACCTCACCACTCAGCCTCCCATTACACGCGGAATTTTCTGGGGACCTATTGCCACCGTCACTGCTGGGCTAATCTGAAGTCAACTCAAATCCATAACGTCTGGTTTCCAACGCTCCGAGGATCAGACGAAAATCCGAATCTAACCATCCCTCCCGACCCTACCTCCATGCTGGTGCACTGAACTCACAACCCCCAAAGCTCCACCGATGCGCTTTCTACAGGCGAATTCTGCTACTAGACGGAGCATGGCGATGAGACTTCCACTCAGTGCGCAATGCGCTCGAGCTGCCGCCCGGAACAGCAAAACCACCACCACCACCGTCGGCAGCAATCACGCCTACACCACCCTCTCCTCAGCCACCACAACCACTACCAGCAACACTGAATGCCTTCGGCGAGCCATTCTCCCCACCTCGCAACAACAGAAGTCGCACCAAAGCCCCACATCGACACCCGTGAGCTGGAGCAGGGCCGCCTCCTCCGATGCAGTGGTCCGGAAATACTGGAATGGCTTCCTGGAGCTCCAGCCGAAGCCGAACCAGCCCGCGGCCGTCTCCAAGAAGAACAAGGAGCTGCAGGAGTTGCTGCTCAAGGTCGCGGAGGTCGGCACCTCGCCCCGGCTCCGGATGCAGGAGGCCTCGCTGCTGGGCGACAGACATACGCAGAAACAGGTGGAGATGGAGCTGAAGTGGCTGCCGGACCCGAAGCGGCTGGCGGATCGGGTAGGTCGTCTGCTGCAGGCGAGGGAGATCATCATGGCGGCGGCGCTGGTGCGCGCGGCGCAGAAGGAAGGACGGGAGTGCATGGTGGCCTGGAATCATATCTTTGAGTATTGCATGAAACAGGGGGCGACCATGGCGGCGTATAAGTTCTACACGGATGTAAGTTGTGCTGTCCCCTTTCAGTCTTCTTTCTACGTTGTCTTGCGACGGTCGGATCTCTGCTTTGCGGGTCTTGGTTTGAAGGTGGATGATGGGCTTTCGCTGATTGTTGCAATTTTGCGCAGATGAAAAAACGTGGCCGCAGACCCAACTCCCACACCTATACGATCATGATGAATGGGTTCAGTGTCTATAATCCGCGGGAGAAGGCGAAGAATGTGGACGCCGCGATGCGTGTATATCGGTCTATTGAGGAGAATCCGGACGTGGAGCGGGATATCATCCACAGCAATGCGATGCTCAAGGTTTGCTGGCTCCAGGAAGACATGGATACCTTGTGGCGGGTTGCGGGAGATCTCCCCGAGGAAGGGCCCGGGTCACCCAACGCTCACACCTACACGATCATTCTGCGCGCTATTCAGAGTCGCCTGGAGCGTAGCACGCAGGATATCCCCTCCAAACATGTCCGCCCGCACTGCGAGAAGAGGAAGACGGCCATCACTGAAGGCAAGCGGGTTTGGGCTGATGTTGTTTACCGCTGGAAGAAAGGTCAGCTGCAGCTCGATAACCACCTGGTCCATTCGATGGCTGAGCTGCTCTTGAATGCATTCAGCGACTACAATTGCTGGGAGGTGCTGGCTCTGTACAACCAGACGGCGGGACTGCCCATTTTCGCCAACAAGCCCTCGCCGGAGAAGGAATACGAAGACAAGTGGGCCAACAAGCGGCATGGGAAGCGTCGTGACGGGCCAAATGCCGACTATTTGCCCTTTGTGAACCACAACAACGAGCCGATCGAAACCGAGGCTACCAAGGAATCGGAATCGGAAATCGTGGAGGAGGAGGAGCAGGAGCAGGAGCAGGAGAACTTCGACCACTTGTTCGATCCTGTCAGCGATGCCAACGGCTCTTCAGCCCCAGCCCTGATTACCCTCGGTAACCGAGAGATTGACGTGGTGCTGGAGGCCTGCTTAACCATGGTGCAAGGAATGCGACCTGGCAAACAGTACTGGGAATACCTAACGCGCGAGGGTCGCGCGGACCTGATCAAGCCTGACGCGGCGGCGATTCACCAATATCTGCGTCTTCTCCGCTACAGCCGATCGACCCGGGAAGCCATCGCGGTGATCCGCGACCAGATGGTGCCCGCTGGGATCACCGATCCCAAAACCTTCCACATTGCGATGAGTGTCTGCCGGCGCGACACTCGTAATGGAAACATCTTGCGACTGGCCGACGAGATGCTCGATATCATGGAGGGCGCGCTCGTGCTTCCGGAGCCGCGTGCTCTGGTGGGCTACCTCGACCTCGTCCAGTCCCTGAAGGAGAACCCCCAGCTTCTGCTGTCGTTGCTCGGCTTGGAGGGTGCCTGGAAGGCTCGGGCGAGCAACTTCCAGGACAAGGGCCGGAGCTTGTACGTGGGGTTGCAGCTGCACGCCGTCAAGAAACTCTTCCCTCACCTCGTGAAATTGGACGAAGCCACGTTACCGTACCTCCCGAAGACGGAGGAATATGATACGGCGGACCTCCCTCCGCCTCACAACCGCGACTCGACCTTCGGGCTCTATGGCTCGAAGATTGCCCAGGCGATGAACGAGACAGGCCGAGTGATTGACGAGCTGGTGCAGCGGCACAGAAACAAGAACTTCTTGAGTAAAGAACTCCTTGCGGATCTGCAGGAGAAGCGAAGCATGCTCAAGAAATACTCCCATGCCCGGATCAACAGGCACATTCGCGATATTCGCGTGGATGCGACTGCCAGCCAGGTCGAAGCGTTTGACCAGAAGCTGGAGAAGCAGCTGGAGAAGCAGGAGCAGCAGGAGAAGCAGAAGAAGCAGGAGAAGCCGCAGGAGGAGGTGGAAGAAAAGACAGAGGTAGCCGATGCGAAGGCGGATTAGTCTCGGCACTGTATAGAACCATCATCACCTCTCCCAACATGTACTTTTGTCATCTATAGCATTTCCAGGGCGTTGGTATATAGGTCTTGTTTGTTTGTACAACAACATGCTTTTTTCTCTTCTGTATAGATGATCGGTGGTATACAGGAGGCAGTTGTTCGGTGTAAATGAAAGTACCAGAGTCTATTTCTACATCACGATGATCAGTCTTGTCCATCGGAGAATTATTTTATTGCATAGATTGATAGATTGATAGACTGATAGCGAGACCATCGCATCGGACGGGACCTCCAAGGGTTTCCGCCTGCCGCTTTCAGCCCGTGGAGTGCGTACGTAATGGAATGAATGCCACTCTAGCCTCTCCTCCGTCCGTCACAACAACCGGCCCGAAGAGCAATCGATCATTCCATTCCCATTTCACTCAATCCGAGCTATACTCTTGTTCCTGCTCGCCATCTCTTTTCTCTCTGGGTACAGCCGGACTGTCCAGGTGATCCACCGGTAACTTTGCGAACGTGCAGTGATTGCAGTGACTATCCTACTCTTTCTCCCTCTATTGTCCTCGGATTCGGTTCCTGAGCTTTCCCTCTCGGAGCCTATAACGAGCCCACCCCCCGTTGTTTGTAGCTCACGATATACCACTACCCCCCTACTTTGCCAGCCATGGCCAGCGCACAACAACCCCTCTACTCCCACGGGGATCTCCACGACGATGAATCCATTCTGGATGATGACATGATCGAGTCCGACGAGGGTGAGTTTGCATCAAACACGGTGGTCCGGGGACGTCCTTGGTAGGGGCATTCAACAGCTAACTCCCAGCGCGCGCGCGTGATCCTTTCGCGCAACGCGCATTTTTGCAAGCATTAGCAATCGAAGCCGATGATCCCCTCCATGATACTACCGACCGGACCCCGCTCCGCGGCAACATCCAAGGCGAAGCATCTAGCACCTCACGCGGCGGCGGCGGCGGCGGCGGTGGCCGCAGCAACTTCGCGGGGAATTACCTCACTTCATCAATTCCCGGCGAGGACCGTCGCGCAACCCAGAGTACCATCGATGAGACTGTGTGGGAGACCCTCTCGCGGGACCTGCGTGCCGTGTGGGAGAAGATGCGGCAGGTGCTGTGGCCCAAGTACCTGATCGGAGGCATGTTGCAGCGGGGTGGAGGCGGGTTGGCGGCGGCGGAACGGGGTGAAGCCAGTGGCTTTGGCGGCGGCGTTCGCAATCTGGTGGGCAGGTGGCCGGATGCTGATGTCGTGTTGCAGGGGGGTATGAGTGAAGGGTTGAGGGATTGGGATCTTTGGTACGCCATTTTTTTTTTCTCTGTGGTTATCCCCTTGCGCTACGGGAAGGCTGGGAGTGGTTTTTGACTACGATACTAACATTCTTTAATTGGATGGTTAGGGGACCTCTGATTTTCTGCCTGCTGCTGAGTATGTTTCTGTCGATGCGCGCCAAGGGAGAGCAGTCGTCTTTGGTGTTCTCCGGGGTGTTCTCGATTGTGTGGATCGGTGAGGCGGTGGTGACGTTGCAGATTAAGTTGCTGGGTGGGAATATGTGAGTTTTTCTGTTTCCTCTTGGGTATCATGTGCTAACAGGGGGGGGTTTTCCGTCGATCTAGCTCCTTCTTCCAGTCGGTCTGTATCATTGGATACACATTGTTCCCGTTGGTCATCGCGGCTCTGCTCAGTGCGCTGGGTCTGCCGACCATTGCGCGCATACCGGTCTACTTGGTGCTGGTGGCGTGGTCGTTGGCGGCGGGCGTGAGTATCCTAGGCGGATCGGGAGTGGTGCGCAACCGAGTCGGGATTGCGGTTTATCCATTGTTTGTGTTCTATGTGGCTATCGGATGTCTCTGCTTTATCAGTTGAGAGGGCGCATGCGGGCTTCAAACTGGGTGGGGTGGTGGGAGTGTGGTGCTGAGCAAGGGAGGAACTATAGCTAAGCTAGGCATAGAGGAAGAGGGAGGTGGATGTCCGGGGGGGGTTGTGTTGTCGTTTCCAGTCGAGGCCGACCATTGAACGGACTGCTCTGGTGTTTTTCTGTTCCATAGTAGCGTTTTCTATCTGAAAAATGTTTGCAGCCAATCTGTCATTTTGCGAATGGGACATTAATCCCAATAGTCTTGATGATAACTTAGTAGTAGAGGGGAAGCGAGCGGTGACGGGAGGGAAGTCAATGGGGACGGACGGGAACCGGGGAGGGCGCCAACACAACAACAGCCCGGGCCATCTCATCTTCCAACTTGACCTCCAACAACAACTCACCCGCTCGCACCTCGCTTGCTTGCTTGCTCGCCCTCGACACCGCTGGCTGTCGCTCTCTTCTTCTCTCTCTTTCTATACTTTACCCCCCTGGGTGTTCGTTTCAGTCTCAACTGAACTCAGCTACCATCATTGCCGGTAGCTCCTCAGCCCCGTCTCGCCCAGGATCCTTCAACACACTTAACTCTCTATCCACGGAACGAGCAGCTTTCGGGCGATCGTGAGCCGGCTCTGACGTCTAATCCACCCTCAACAGCCTCCGCGCAAACCCAGAACCCCCCTTAACACTCCCCCTACGAGGTTCGAAGGTTCGATTTTTAGGTAAGTCGTTGGTGGCTCTTCCCCCGCCTATGGAGAGCGACGATCACATCAGGAGTTTCCCCTCCATTCCTTCCTACCTACACCCGCAGCCCAGAAATGCTGCGGGCAGAGAGCCAGTCGTCTCTTTCCCGCAAGCAGACCCAGATAAGCCTCGGCCCTTCTCCTAGGCCGATCGAATTTGGGTTTTGCTGGCCCCGGCGTGCTTCAGCTTAATTTAATTTGTTCGCTTTGCTGGAAGCTAACGTCGATTTTGCTTGTATCTCAGACAGTACAGAATCTGCGTTTGTTTACGGTCCGGTTTCTGTCCACCACGTCACCACCCGCCAATCGTCCTAATCCAAGTATCCGATCACACACACACACACGCTGAGGTTGTGTCAACTCCCCGCGCGCTTGCTACAATTTAAACACGGGATTTTCTACCTCGATCGAAGATGGCGCCGGAGCAGCAGCATGCTAGTGGGGCACAAGGTACATACTCCAAGCATATTCGACCTTGGTTTCCATATCGTGTGTTTATCCTGACAAGAGATTTCTTTTCGCGTGTAGTAGAGGAAGTTCCCCAGCCCTCGATATCCGCTCAGGGTAGGTTCTAGCTGGTTCAAATATAGTACCCGCCCGCGAACGACCACTAATCTCTCCTCTTCAGTCGCGGACGACTCCCAAGCATCGGACAACGACGGCGGAGAGCGCCCCGTTCGCAACAAGCTCAAGGAAACATCCATCACCTCAGTATCCAAGGCCGACGACGACGCCGGCCCACAGGAGGGGGAGACCAGTCGAGCTAGCAGCCGAGGCCGGAAACGGTCTTTCGATGAGGATCAACCTGAGAAGATGGATGAGGACTCGGGACATCGACGAAAGAGATCGCGCGACTCGAATACAGAGGAGGGGGAGGGGGAGGAGGAGAGCAATGTCGTCACCGTCGACGCGCCATCGCAGTCCACGGAGGACCTCTCACGCAAGATCCTGAGTCCGAAGAAGAAGCGGAGTCGCGACCAGCTGGATAAGGACGAGGCCAAGCCGGCGGAAACCACGGAACCCGTCGATCAGTCCACTACCGAGAAGGAGGTTGCGACGGAGAAGTCGGCTGCAGAGGGAGAACCTGAGAAGAAAAGACATCGGGATGATTCACAGGAGCGGGAGAAAGTAGGTGTTTCATGAAAGGTTGTGTTCCTTTTACATCCACTAATCCGTCTGCAGGCCTCAATCTCTAGCGGATTTGCTAACACTTCGGCCGTATCACCTTTCGGGGTCTTGGGTGCAAGCAAGCAAGAGTCCTCCGACCCCAGCGAAGTCAAATCATCTTTGGCCTTTGCGGCGTCTAGCATGGCGGCGTTCGCCAAGTCGGAACAATCGCCTTTCGGCACCTTGGGTAGTTCGACTTCCTCCTCTATCTTCAAATCGTCGACGCCTTCAGACTCGAGCAAGCCCGCTGCTACCGGGTTTGCATCTGCAGCCGGTGGGTCCGGCTTCGCTTCCCTGGGATCTGGTTTCGCGGGATTCAGTGGTGGCTTTGGATCCGCAGCGCCTAAGAGTGCGCTTACGAGTTTCGCTTCTCCGGCGGCGCCCAGTGTGCTAGGCAGCTCGAAGCCTAGCGCTTTTGGTCAGCCGGAAGATGATGAGAAGGAAGGAGAAGCAGAGGAGGCCGATGCTGGGCCTGCCGAGTTCGAGCAGGACAAGACGGACGAGCGGTTCTTTGAGCGACCCAGTAAGTTCAAACCCTGGAGTGGGAGGTCCCTGGGTTAACGTTTGTCTAGTCGAAACCGGCGAGGAGAATGAAAAGACGTACTTCTCGTGCAAAGCGAAACTGTTCCAATTCAGCAACAAGGAGTGGAAGGAGCGCGGCATTGGCACATTCAAAGTCAACGTACGGCTGACGGACGGGGTGGAAGATAAGAAAGCGGCCCGGATGATCATGCGTGCCGACGGCGTGTTGCGGGTGATGCTGAACACGCCCATCTTCAAGGGTATGACGGTCGGCGACGCAAAGGGCCAGCCGCCCAAGTCGAAGCAGATTCACCTTGCCAGTCTGGAGGAGGGCCGATCGGTTCCGCTTCTGTTGCGGGTGAGTATCCTTCCACGAATTGACCAAAGGGAAGCATGTGCTAATGGAGTGTGTAGACGGGAAGCGAGGAATTGGCAAACGAGCTGTACAATGTGGTGAAGGACTTGCAATCGCATCAGTGAGAGTCTTTGGGCCCGCGATTGAAGTGGGGATCTCGTCGGCATTCTGGAGACGGGAGAATTGGATTTATACTACCGGCTGGATCTATACATGCTTTGGGATGGGGAGGATTATTGATTGCTTCACACACATGCATATCTGGAGGGTAACGGACCCTGTCTGTGTGGGTAGGAGTTAAGACTTTGAATACCGCGAATAATGCATCTCTTATGTTACTTGACTGTGACTGTTATCAGGACCGGGGGGGCCAATCAGGCCATTGCACGAAATTAACTACTAGGACGGAACTAATGCTTGGTAGTGCAGTTTGTTGACGACAGCCAACCTTGAACCCTGTTTTGTTTTCTTCTCCCTATCCTTTGTGATTGTTTCTTTTGTCCTGAGTTGTCCGAATCGAAAGAATTCACCATGCACCGTCGGGACGTTTTTGGGCCGGAGCATTTATTCCTCCATCAGCACCATCACCACCCCAATGGCCATGGCGATCATCATCATCATCTCCACCTCCACCTCACCCACGTCACCGGCGCAATCCCCTTTCTCAACCCAACTCATGCCGCGTACCGAACCACCACCTCTTCCTCCTCTTCATCCTTGTCCTCAACCAGCCCAACCCACCCCCAAATCTACCGGCTCTGGCGCTCCCGCGACACGCGCAAAGGCCGCCACGCCCTCCGCATCTCCACCACCACCAGTAGCACCGCCAGTACCAGCGGCACTCCCACCAGCCCCCCTCCTCAAGCCCACGACGCCGAGCCCCCAAAGCATCACCACTTTCCCGTGCCCGTGATCACAACACCGCAACCCCCCACCACCCACCCGCGCATCATCCTCGCAACCCTCAAAAGCATGCTCACCACCTTCCCCTACTGGGACCTCTCGTACCTCATCGCCGTCACCTTCACGCTCGGCTCCGCCATCTGGATCGTCAACGCGTTCTTCGTGTGGTTGCCGCTGCAGGATCCCGGTACAGTGTTCCAGGGGGAGGAGGGCGCGGGCGGCGGGTGGACGGCGTTCGTGGGGGCGGCGGTGTTCGAGGTGGGGAGTTGGGGGCTGGTGGTTGAGGCTTGGGGTTCTGGTCAGCCTGGGGATCATGACCATGACCATGACCATGACCATGGCCATGACCATGGCCATGGGGAGTTGGGGATGGGGTCGTGTTGGGGGTGGGATGTTGCTGTTTCCCCTGCGGACCCTGCGGACCCTTTGGGGCACGGAGCCGGGCCCGGGGTGTCGGTAGGGTTGGGGGAGAAGGGGATGGGGAAGGAGCAGAGTGACGGGGGTACTGGGGGTACCGGGGGTACTGCTCAGCAAGGACAGCCCCCGTCCCCGCCCCCACCGCCATCACGAGGATCAGATACGACTAAAGCGATTGGCAATCTCGTCCTCCGCCCCAGTACGGAAACCTGTACATGTCATCATTCGAATCGGAAGGGGCTGTTATCGTCATCGTCGTCGTCGGGCAGGAAGAAGGCCGCTACTGCCACGGCCCTGGCCGGTTCTTCTGCGGGAGCTGCTGCTACCACCACCAATACATCCGCCTCCCGCACTTCCAAAAAGATCAACCACTACCTCCACGACCTCGGCTTCCTGGCCTCCCTCGCCCAGCTCGTCGGCGCCACCATCTTCTGGATCGCGGGCTTCACCGGCCTCCCTGGCATCCTCGGGCACATGAGCCTCCCCCTGACGGACGGGGTGTACTGGGTGCCCCAGGTCGTGGGCGGGGTGTGCTTCGTCGTCAGCGGCGGGCTGTTCACGCTCGAGACGCAGGAGCGGTGGGATCGGCCCGCGTGGCGGGTGCTGGGGTGGCATATCGGGGTCTGGAATCTGGTGGGCGGAATTGGCTTCACCCTGTGCGGCGTGTTCGGGCTGGTGGGGATGCAGTATCAGGCGTGTCTGGCGACCTTCTGGGGGTCGTGGGCGTTTCTCTGGGCTTCGGGGTTGCAGTGGTATGAGAGTTTGGAGAAGTGGCCGGTGGAAATGGAGAAACACCACCACCATCATGATCATCACGTGTAAAGACTCGGACTATACAACTCGATTGGCTTCTATAGGGGGGATCTTGGAAGAATATGCTGGCAAAGAAACAGAGACACAA